CGGAGTTTGTCGCAGCGAGTGAGGTCGCGCGCGAGCTGATCGGCCTGCGAGAGATGTTGCGCGAAGTGGTCGTTGATCCCGCGCTCCCGATGCAGTTGCGGGTGGCAATTAAGCGGCGATCGCGCAGATCGCGGGTGAGGCAATGTCGCTGAAGGAGAAACACGTGGATGTGCGCCTTAAGTTCCTCTGAGACTACCCGCGTCGCGGCATCATTGCGGCGAGCTACGTCAGCTTGACGAAGATGCTCGCAGACCTCCTTACAAAGGCGTCGGACGCGACTGTGGTAAAGTCACGGACCAAATGATAGGACGTGGATCGGTGACCACCCAGTTGAGACGTCACTTACTGGCAGAAATGACACCATATGATATAGGGATCCAATGGGAGATGGAAGGTGATCCCCACTGAGATCAACGATCCGATCCAGCTGTCGCCAGAATGATGGACTTGGAACGATTTGGGACGAGGAGTAGAAAGGGATGATTTCGATGGACCAATCTGGGACGAGTCGCAGATATGTAATTGCCAAAGGTACATCTAGGACCAGGTGGTGCGATATGACTCTGTGACGAAGGTGTAACATCCTACAGATCGGTGACACTCTTTACCGGTCTCACAATGGGAGTGCTGATTTTGGTTAATTATAGCCCGATCTGGAAACGTGGATACTCGTGGAGGTACAGGGAGCTATGTGGAGAGAATCGTGGACCATATAAACCCTGAAGGGTGATATTGGAGCACGTACAATGAACAGAAGAACATATACTGCTGAATTGTACCGTGTCGATCTCAACGATCCCGAATTTGGGCACCAGATCGGTCATGTTCCCTGTTGATTATGGATGTATCGCTGATGAGACTTTGGGGTCATGATAAATATGTTTGTTGAAGGTCCATGAGTGATTTCGCAAAAGTTCAGACCGAAAGAGCCAGTGGTAGCCGGTTGAATTGACGTCGCAAAATGGATTTAGGCACATTTGGCACTTTACTATTTCGGACCTTTTGGTACCAAAATTGGGAATTTAATACCGTATTTTGGGTTTGGTGTCTTCTGATAATTTAGGTACGATATCGAGTATATTGGCGCTATCTTTGGAGTACAGGTCATGTAATTCACACGTGCTCAAGGGGGCGATCAAGCTTAAAAGTGATATCGGTTTGGAGAATGACCTACAGTTTTGAATAGGCTTAAAGATAGGTTGGATAGTAATTTGGCTGATTAATGATTAATACTTGAACTCTACTTCTACTCACGACGCGCGATCCCTCCTTCTCTTCTGGGCAAGATGAATTTGGCTTCCCCGACGGTTTGAGACACGCGTGCTACAAGGACATTGAAGACCAATCTTGGATTGTTGTCAAAGATTGAGAAGAGCGATCTCGGGAAGTTTGGCCCGGATCGATCAAGTACTAACACTCAACTCAACAGCTAGGGTGGCAGCGACAAGGAAAAGGATTTTGGTTACAAGATCGCGAGACGGCTCAAGTGGTCAGAAGATCTAACCAAGGAGTTCAAGACAAGACCGAGCGAGATCGAAGCAATCCACAAGGCAGATCGGCCCGTTTCATTTTGGCGAAACAGGACACCCATCTGCCCACATTGCGCACTTCCTGCAAGATCAACCGATCCCAAGACCAGATCGTGCCAATCCCAAGGCAAGATCGACGCAAGATTACGATTTGCTGAGTGAAGATTCCCGCACAGCAAAGACCCCGATCCATAAGACAGATCGAGATCGGTGTGATCCAAGATCAAGATCGCGACATCTTTAAATAGAGATCGTCGCGACTCAAGACCAAGATCGCAGAACACCTATTCGTGGTGTGAAGATTTCCGCACCGAAAGCGAACTTTCAACCCCAACCTCTCAGCGAGATCGACATCTCCCAAGGCCATTACGAAGAGCTCAAGCCAGCCCAACCGACGGGTACACAAGGTGAGCACAAGGCTATACAACAAGGCACGGATCGGAGTGCCCCCTCCGTGAGTCGGCAAGTCTGGGAAAGTGGAAGATCGACCCTCACACAAGCAATTTTGTGAGATCGACTTCACCACACGACATAGCTCTCGACAATGCGCGCTCTCGTGCGCATCGAGAAAAAAGATCAAGGACAACCAAGGGTGTTCAAGGAGCTCAAGGATGGAGGAGCACAAGGACAAGGACATATGCAAGCTTAAGAAATAGGAACGGGTGTGAAGGCAAGTCACGACCGAGGTAAGATGTTGGAAATGTTGAAATGTTGAAAATGGGTGCGAGGGCACGAAAAGGCGATCGGAGTGGTCAGCCGGTGACTTGGGGTTTATTTGGGACCATGATGTCGTAAACTTGCTGTGCGCAAAAGGTGGACGCAGAGTGACAAGCAGAATAGTGATTGCATTCAGGTAGAGTCAGAATGCGTGCGAGATAGATGACTGGAGCAGAAAGATTTGGCGAGCACGGCAGAGAAGAGATGATCAGTAAAAAGCAATACAGAACCTTATTGTTCACCTACCACTTCCTTCTCGCAACACGCATCATGCCTACAGACCGATGATACGAGGACGCGTTCACGTCCTCACATCTCGCGTCTACGCCCGCAACTGGCGGCTACAAGCGCAGCACGCCCGCGGCAGAACCCTTTCCGCGGCTTCCCAACCAGGGAGAGGGTTGATCACGGTCGCAAAATTGCAAACGAAAACGATTAGGGACGTGTGGTTTTATTTGTGCCACACTAATTTGAGCTTAGTAGGACGTGGAGCATTTTTTATTTTCCAATTATCTGGGGTATTTTTTATTATCGTGATTAAATGGGCATTTTTTATTTTCCTAACACAATATGACGAATTTTATGATCAGTCCAATCGCTTTGAATCCGGTTACTCTAATCAAGCCATCACCAGTATCACGAAGACTGTAGTCGCCGTGCCGGTCACTCACGCCTCGCCCGGGTAAGATTGATCGACTTTATCAAGGGACAATCCGGCTGACTTACTTAACGGTCCAAATTGTGTCTGTCCATGGGGACACACCCGTCGCCAGGACGAGATAATCGAGTCGCACTCTCCGCACTCTCGACTTTACTGAATTCTTATTGAAGGTTCCCGAGTCGGATGTTGCATCCAATTCGACAGAAATGATGCCCACTTAAGTTAGGGTACCGTAGATTTTGGACTCGCATCCACGACAGATCAGCGAGGGAATTACCACGTGCATCTACAACAATTGGCGTTGCCAGCTGATCAGTAAAAAATAAGTAGAAAAGGTTAAACGACCACCTTCTGTTTAGTTTCTAACAGCTTTATTGGCATCTGCACGCTTTCGTGTATCCTCTTTCTGATCAGATTCAGCTGCATATCGCACGACTTTGTTGACAATGCAAAAACATCGAAGTGATTTGGCTCGGACCAACAAGCTCTTATTGTCCCAGAATGCCGGTCAATCTTTCATCTATCAGCTGTCAATTACTCGCAAAGTGACTGATGTAATAAGGAGATGCTGTCGTTGGAATCGTATTTCCTGCAGGAAGGTACGTTTCGTGAAGCACAAAGGTCGCGTAGGTGAGCCGAACGCATGACAGGCAGCAATATGGCTTCATGTAACAGAATAAGCTCGTCCTTTTCATTCAACCTTCGCAGCCACCATAGATGACACTTGGGGGAGTAGTCCTCATGCGCATAGTGCATCAACCTCCGAGAACTAACTTGTGTTCCTTCTCTTTTCTACCTGCTAGCGCAATATACACTCGGGTCTCCAATCCTGCCGTGCTCCTTCAGCCGACTTCTCACATTACCTTTATTCTATCATCTGTAACAGGGCGAGTACGATACATGTCATCGTACATGACGTAACGTGAAAGCAAGAATAGTAGTTATAGACAATCTTCTCCGATACTACACCCTCTCTGACAATATTTACCAACATTTACACTTCTAAATAAATGTCGAACGAGCATTACCATCGTTGATGATGTCCAACACCGCTTCACTTACGAGATGATACAAAGGCCTGCATCAACCAACTCAGTACAAATTGCTTCTCGACGCGCGAGATGGGTGGTGAGATAGTAGCCACGTTTGGAGCTTGTAGTTGATCTAGTTAAATTACGATCAAAAGAGACTCTATTATGGGAGATTTGACGACAGTGATCACGCTTCTGCTTTTTCGTCTGTTGTACGCATTTGTTTCGAAAACCAGCCTTCTTCTGCACGTCAGTGTACGTGAAGTTGTGAGGCACCACCTACCTACATTGTGTCAGTAAGATCGGTATCACGCCCATGGGCATGTTGCACCTAGCCATCTCTGCACAGAGTGTTTTTCTGTGTCACCAACAGCCACAGTATTCGGTCGTACCACAGACATATGTCTTCAGTAACATGCATACACGACAGGCAGAGTTGCAAACAACAGTGTTGCTCACCCGCTAAGTAGACGTGATAAACATTCGAAAGCGCAGCACCAGAACAGTGAAGCATGCATCACTTTCGCGTCTTTGCATGTTTCACTCCTCACAGCACGTTTTCAAGTCGCGTGCACACACTCCTTGTACCGGATTGTGCCGTAGCGACTGTCATTTTCGAGTGCTGCCACCAGCTTTTGCAGCTCCATAGCTTGTACGCAGTCGCAGCGACTGCTGATCCCGTGACGACGTCACGTCGCTGCACGCGAGCGCAATATTCGGAACCAACGCGCATACAAATGGCACGTCGACGCGCGTTCACAGACAAAACGAGGCGGGCAAACCCGTGTGTCCCCATTGGCATGACACTACGTGCGCCACACCAGGCGCGTTAGACTGCGCGAGAGGTACACGGTACCTTCGCCTGCTCGCCAATGCTTTTTTGAGTTTTTACAGTAAAAAAGTGCTTTTCGACGGTATTTACGCGCGCGCGTCGCACGGTAAGTGGTCCGCGACGGGCGCATTCCGTCGTTCCGCTGGTCGGCGCTAATGCGCCGCGCGCGCTTTGCTCGTCATGTTGTGTGGTAGGAGACAGACGCTGGGGACGGACTGTGGCCGACGACGATGCAGACAGCGGCAGAGCTCGTGGACGTGGCAATAGGCGCTGCGCTGTTCGATCCGTCGAGTTACACTGGCGGCGCGCCGTTGATTCCCATGGACGACAGCGGCTCTGGCGATCGAGAGACGGGCGACGCAGCGCCGGACGTGTGCCAGGAGCTCATGGACAAGAGCGTGGACGGCGAGGAAAAGAGGATGGGGCGACCGAGTCACCCGGCGTGGCAGTACTTTGTGCGTGGCGAGAAGCGCAATCAATTCCACCACAATGCCTACTGCCGCCTGTGTCGAGCACAGGGCGTCGATGCCGTCGCGATTCGAGGGGTGTCGGGGAACATGATCCGCCACTTGCAAAAGTGCGTCTACTGCCCCGTGGAAGTCGTGACGCAGCTGAAGCTGCTGTGCGCGCAGAAAGATGCAGCGAATTTCAACAAGCGCCACCAGTCGCCCAGTCGCAGTAGCGTCGACATGCTGCGGCAAGAGACGACTGGAGCACTGCTGACGAAAAAAAGGACGAAGAAGGCGCGATGGAGCAATGACAGAAGCGAGCACATTGGGTCGTTGCCCGAGGAGACTCGAGACGGCGAGCAAGGAGGTGATGCAAACTGTACGCAAGTCGCGGCCGGGGGGGACGCCCTTGTGCCACTGCAACGTCCGGTAGTCTCGCCTGAGACGAATGCCGAACATGTGGCGAGCATGCCACTACTTAAACCGCCGAACGATGCGAAACAGAACACGGCGTCATCCGACAAGGCAAGTGGGTTGCTGGCGCCTCGACAATGGCCGTCTGCTGAGAGACAATGCACAGCGCGTGGTCCACAGGTGCAAAGCACAACTGGACTTGAAATGACTGAACTTGCAAACAGTGACATCAGTGCAGATGCGTTGAGCATGTCCGTGATGTCGTCGACGCTGTCGGCGGGCCTACCCTGGGATTGGGTGTGGATGGAACAATCAGCTTTGCTGCTTGGAGACGTGCAATCCAAAATTAGGTTACCAAGTGCCGAGTTGCTCTCGTCAATAGGATCCGTTTGCCACGACAAGCAGATTTCGAAGATGAAAGCTGAGCAAGGTGGGGTCACACTGGCTGTCAACTCATGGATGGCTAAGTACCCTCGAACGACATTCGTTCTACTGTCGCTCGTAAATGCAGTAGGTGAAGCGACAGTGTGGGATCTTGTTGACATGGGATGTGAAACCAGCGCGCTGGAGGGTGATCTCAGCGACAAAATAAAGAGCAGCTTGACTGTGTTGCAGGAAAGTGGCATCTACGTGATCAACATTGTTGCCGACACGGCTCTGGCTTACGCAGCCTCTCGTCTTGCCGTCGATTCTAGCAAGTCGTCAAGTATGTCGATACCTGTACTACCGTGCTTTTCGCACATGCTGCAGGTGCTGCTCGGTATCGTCATGACAGAGTCGGACACGTTCGTGAAGACTGTTGGGGAAATGGTCGAGCTCGTCGGAGCGTTCTCGAATCATCGCGTTGCAAAGATTTTGCAGCATGAGTGCGGTGATATCGAAGCGACGCTGCGCATTCCAATACGGCAAGACTGGTATTCCTTCATCGAAGCCGTGGATTCTGTTCGACAGTACGAAGACATGGTCAAGATTGTCTCGTCGAAGGTATTGCAAGCCTCGTCTAGCGATGCGGCAGGACAATCTTCGAGCACCTTGCACACTGACAACTTACGCAAAGATAGCACGGGTAACACTGTCGATGAGCTGCTGGAGTGCGGTCTTCCGAGTCATGTTATACGGACAGTGCAAGATTCAGAATTTTGGGAAAACGTGATGGCATTGAGCGAGCTGATGTCACCGCTAAAGGAGGCATACAAGATGACGACTAGTTGTCTTACGTCGCCATGTTCGCTGTCGGGCATATTGTATCAATTTGGGAGAATGCAGCAACAGTATGAGGCTATTGCATCCGACTGGGAGGACGTGTCTGGCGGGTGTCGCTCTGTCGAGCAAGTACGTCTGTTGCTGCAGAAAGTAAATCACATGTGGAAGTTGTATGACCATCCACTCATGATATTGGGTTACACCTTTGACTACAACCTTCAGCAACCATTTCTTGCCCTGCACCAGCCATTGCTCCAGTGGCTATCGATCGGCAAGTACGCAAAGCAATACTTTCAGAGCTGGTTTTGCGCAGCGTCGTCAGCCCAGAGTTCTTCGCGTTGGCCGTCTTTGTGTGACGACGCTGTCGCACAGTTCATGGAAGACGTTTCTGCTTACAAAGAACGCAAGTATCCGTTCGACTTGGAGTCTATGTGTGATTTCGACAAGCCCAAGCATTTTTACGTGCTTGTGTCCGACTCGCATCCGTTGATGTACATGTTCGGGTCTCGGCTATTCAGCTTTGCGACTAGCACGCCGCCTCTGAGTGATTTGATTCCTGGAAAAGGCTTTGTTTCTTCTACACCTTCGACAACGCATTTGCAGCAAACTCTGCTGCCGTTGCTGCGAATGACGCTGTTTGCCCGCACGGCAACGCGGCTGTCCCAAGACATGCTTGAGCTCGTTCAACACAGCAGACTAAAGAGTTCCGTTGCGCATGCGACCAATGGCGGTAACATGCATGAGCCGGTACCGGGAGCCAATGATGCGACTTCGTCGTTTCTTTCGGGTATGCGCTCGGGTAGACAAGTCAAAGCAAGTGGGGCCGACGAATCACTGGCTCGACTGTGGAATACGAAGCAATGGGCAGTGCTGGCTAGACATTGGAAAGCACATTGGAAGGAAGAGACCGCTTACATGAACCGACTTCAGTCCCAACGAGTCAAGGACGGGTCTGCACCGGACATAGCTCTTGATGACGTCTTCAAGGTGACGTTGCCATCTCGATTTCCTCACGATCGAGACTGCTCGTCGGCGCACGTGTAGTTTGATGCTTGGAAAGAGATGACAAGCACGTCGCGTGTGTGTGAAGGAAGATAGAACCGGCGTTTGGTTTGAAAGCGTTGGCCTGGAAGAATTTGTTCAGCGTATCGGCGTCCGCGTTGGTGTTGGCAAGTAAAGTATGCTGCGATTCGTTGTGTACGGTTATAGCACATATCTTCGTCCATAGCACGCTCGCCCACTGAAGCAAGTAGGCTATGTGCCAACATGTTGACAGACACTGTATCGTCGAGAAATGTGAGACGCATGTTCGAGGGATACCAGGCAACTTTCCGAGTATTGCGGATGTAGTCTTTTGACAGCGCTGTGGTGCCGTTAGTTATCGATTGCTGTCTCGTGTCGGAAAAAAGTCGCATGTTATCGATTGCTGCCGCATGTGCGTCGGGTGCCACCAGCAATGCTCATGGGGGAAGGTAGCACTTTTTTGTCATGAACTTGGCCGCAAATTGGCTGCGATGGATGGTCGTCACTCACTGTCCAGCATTGTTATGAAGGTCAGCGAAGTATGCGCCGCAGCATCATTCGTAGACCAGATTTGTTCAGAAGGTGGTTGTCGCATGGCATCGTGCGCTTATCTTCCGAGCATCTGGACCAGTATGTTGGGCAACTCGTCGGCATACGTCAGTACTGCAGACAACGCAGAGCCAACCTACGCATCTACAGCGTACCGGTTCAGTAGTCATCGCCGCGTTTGTCGATCGCAAACATCCGTGCTGCAGTGCATACGTACGTGCCGTCAAAGCGCCCAATCCCACGCCCGATTGCAACGAATGAGGGTGTATTGGTCAATGAACGGCATCTACACGCACAGAGCTTAAGCTAGCAGATTCTCTCCGTTGTAGTGGAACAGGCACACGCTCCCGGCAAACATGGCAACGCTCACAAGAAGCTGCTCGTGCTTCGTGACAAACGCGGTTGCACGGTCACGGGAGCGCTGGTACCACGACTTGCGCTGCATCGGCACACCACCCGTGCCAAACCGGCCGCCGAGGAGGTTTGACTTGGGCTTGGAGATGCTCGATGCGCTCAACTGACGCTGGCTCGCGTTCAAGCGGTCATACTTGATGCGGAGATTAGCGGCCTCACGCTCTAGCATGTGCAACTCGGCCTCGGCTTCTTGCTTCTTCTTCGACAGTGCGACCACGGAAATGCTCAGCTTCTCAGCATCCGATAGCTCAAACGTCGCCTTGACATGAAAACGGCTGCGCGGCAGCTTAGGTGCTTTGGATACTTCGTCGTTCTCCCCCTCCTCAGCTGCCTCCGTCTCGTCGACGTTCTTGACCTCTCCATCTTCCGCAGTCTCCTCAGCTTCAGCCTCGTTGGCTGTGCCGGTCACTCCGGATTCGTCAGCCTTCTCCGTCGACTCGCCGCCATCAGCAGTGGCATCCGTCTCGTCACCTTGTTCCTCTACTTCTATCTTCCCTGACGCTTCAGCTGCGTCCGCCACCTTGCTTCCTGCCTCCAGAGCCTCCGCCTCCTTCTCCTCAGCCTCGTCGCTCGTTTTCCCAGCTTCGTCATTCGAAACAACCTCATCGATCGCCTCCTTCATCGTCTCTTCCACGAGCTCCGTAATCGTCGTGAGCTCCTCCTCCTCTTCTTGTTCGTCCACAATAGCGTACCACTTGTCCAGTGCATTGTCATGAAAGAGCGACGAGACAGGAATTTCAATCTCTTTCACGGGCTCCGCGTCTCCATCATCCTTGTCAGCCGCCGCCGCCGCCGTTGCAACAGTAATGATCACAACAGTCTCGCGCGACTGCACCGGGTCGAACGCAAACGTCACCGGAAACAGCCGCGTGTCCCTCACGTTCTCTTCTTCGTTCTCGCTCCTCGTTCCAGCTGTCCACGCAATTGTGCGCACTTCCGGGGCCTTCTCCCGCTTGACACGCTTCTTCGTGATCGTGCGCGTAATCTTCGTCGTGGTCTTCAGCTTGCGAGGCGTGTGCTCGGTCTCCATCTCGACCACCTGCTCGTCTTCAACGACATTGCCCGCTTCGTCGGTCACCACCACGTCCTTCCTCTCCACAATCTCCTCCACCGTCTCGTACGCGTCGGCCGTGTACTCGGGATCCAACGAGACCGTTATCGTGGCGTCGGGCACGGGCTCCTCGCCCTCGACGCTCGCCAGTGTCACTTCCAAACGGCCCACGCTCTTGGCGGCCGCCCGGACCTCGTCCGAGAGCTCTTCTTCGCCGTCCGGCGCCGCTGCCAGCGCTGTGATCTGCTGGAACGCGGCCGCGATCTGCTCGTCCAGCAGCTTCACTTCGTCCACTTTGGCCGTGACGCTGCGACGGCATTCGAGGTATTGCACGGACGCGCGCTGCGCCATTGCGACCACTGCGGCCGAAGCGGAGGAGGGGGTGGAAGCCATTGCAATAGAGCGGCGGGGGATCGGCGGGAGGAAGGAATGCGTGGCGAGGGGCGCGTGCTCGAATGGTGTGCACCACACAGTGTGCCAGACAGAGGGTACACGCTCACTCACGAACGTAACGTACCCAAACAAACGTTCGACCGACGATGGCCTCCGACGTGAAGATGCGCAGCTCACTGTTTTTTTCGGGCTGAAGGTGCGTTCTGAATATGGTACGATCGAGCTGTTGTCAGGGTCGTACGACTGGTCGTACACGTCGACAGTGGTACGGAAAAGAGAGACACCAACTGCCACTTTGTGAATAAACATCTGCTTTGGACAGCATCTGCTTTAATCACCACATGTAAATACGAAAAGTCACTGGACGTGTGCCGTGGCAAGAAAACAATTGCGGTCTCTTGCGCAGTTAGTCGGTCGGTCACTCGGTCAGATGGGCGGGGAATGGCAGGAAGCAGGTTGTTAAATGAACGTCATATTACGTACGCACGATACTTTAAATTAAGCGAGCGCGGATTCTTCCGCAGCTCCCGAGACTGTTCGTCTCGTTCCTCCTGCCGTGCTCGACTACTGCGCACCGGGGCAAACACTGCGACTTGGCTGTCACGACTCGTTCGCGCGCACACTGTTACCGTGACAGCGTGCACGAGTCCGTCGTTGGAATCGACGATGCGAGGAACCAGCCCGTGAGTTGCTGCAGGGCCTGCGCCTCGTCGTTTTCCTGGATACTTGGCGCGTACCCGCCGTCGAGAAAGCGTCCGCCCTTGGTGGTCACGTACGACGGCGGGTTCAGCGACCCAAAGTTCGTCTCGAGACTCACGCGGCTCGAGCACTGCGACGCCCGCACGGACGTCGAGGCAGAACTCGGGCCAACGCCGAACGAATCCGTCGTGCTGCTGCAGCTGCTGCACACGCTCCTGCTGGAGCCCATGAGCGCCGAGGACACCGAGCCAGGCGGGGCAGCGTGGCCCCCGCGACCGTAGAACTGGAACGAGACACCCGGCTCTTCCTTGTATTGCGGCCGACGCAGGCTGCCCATTGCACTGCTGCTCTTGCTCTGCGCACGGGACCGGCTCTGATGAGGCTGCTGCTGCTGCTGCTGGTGGTGGTGGTGGTGGTGGTGGTGCGGCAGGACCTGCTTGTGCTTGTGCTGGCGACGGTGCAGCAGCGACACGGGCACGTTCTCGTCCGTGCACGGGACAAACTCCCCCGTCACAATCTCCTTGATCGGCGGCTGCGTGGCCGGGTCGTTGCAGTGCCGTCGTGTGGCCCTAGTGACCATCCGACCCGACTGCTTGCGCACAAGAGTCGTCGTTGAAGCAGCAGTAGCAGCAGTTGCAGTAGTTGCAGGTGCAGTTGCAGTAACTGCAGTTGCAGGTACACACGCGTCCGATGTAGCAACGGCAAGTGACGAGCTCCTGTGCTGAACCTGATTGCGATGCGCAGTCAACCGATTGCGCGGGGCCTCACCCGCTTCGTGACCTCGAGGGGTCACGCGGTCGCGACTGCACGCCGAGGCACTGAACGCCTGTGGCGGCGCTCCTGCTGCTGCTGCTGCAGTAGTAGCAGTGCCGTCGTAGTAGTAGTCGGTCGGGTTCACTTCGCTGTCGAGGAACGACGCCGTGTGCCACATGACGACCGTCGAGCCGCCGCTCGCGCTGGCCGCACTGTGGGCGAACAGCGTCGTGCTGGTGCTCGTGAGGAACGTGTCGCTCACGTGGCTAAAGTTGCGCGCGCCGAACTTGTTCTTGCGCTCCTCGAGGAAGAAAATGTGCTCGAGCGCGAGCGACGGCCGGCGGCACAGGCACTTGGACCCGCGGACGCCGCACGCGCGACAGCGGCGGAGCCAGTTGAACTTGAGCAGGTCCAACCAGGCGCTGAGCCGCGTGGACGTCATCCGCGAAGGAAAAGCGCGAGCGACACACGCGCGCGCGTCTGTTGCAGTGGGCGACAAAGTGGTAATGGCCACATTGCCGTTGCCCTGGCGACGACGGCGTTTGGCGAGCCAGTAACAATCGACTGCCTGACGGAGGGCGTGACTGACTGCCTGCCTGTCTGCCGGTCTGCCGGTCGAGCGATGCGGCCCGTCTATGGTCGGGCGTAGAGCCGGGACGGGCTCCGACGAGAGTGTGTGTGTGTGACGGACGAACAGACAGACAGACAGACAGACAGACAGACGGGCAGACAGACAGACAGGGCCGTGGCCAATGTGCGTGGGGCGAATGAATGGGTCGTCGTATTTGTACTAGAGCACAGCCACAGACAGGCAGCTGCTGTCTGTGACCGGTGCTCTTTGTGCGCACCGCATCGCTACCGACAGCGCGATGGCCCGTGTGGCTCTTCGCGCGTGCTCGCGCACGCCCTCGTGCGCGTTGGAGGGCTTTACGTCGACTTGGCGCGCGAGCGCACGTGCTTCCTGCGCGTGCGATTGGGAGACCAGTTGATGCCGTGAAACGGCGCGACTTACAACACTCGAGTGTAGAGCAGAGCTTGAAGCTGCTCGACCCGTGGACAGCTGTCGCCATCATCACTCGATCGATCGATCGATCGTCGATGCCGTTGTTGTTGTTGTTGTTGTTGTTGTTGCCGGCGGAACACGGCGGCAGTGCGTTCGCAGCCGTCGGACAGCAACCGCAACCGTAGCCGCCGTCGCCCTTTCTGGCCAAAACCTGCCGCGTCTGGTGTGCCAGAAGGGAAGAAAAGGATCCAAAAGGTGGACCGACGACAGCAGTGGTTGCTGCAGTGAACAAAAGGAGGCGACCGAGCAGGCGGAAGCGAGAGGCTGAGGGATCGAGGCACTGGATGGGGCCGTAACCATCACGAGGGCGTCGTCTGCTTGGAAGGGATACACTGCAGCGACGAAGACCAGGCGGCTTTGCTACGTCCGGGCGCCTTCCACCCCACCCCACACGACACGAGCCACACAGACAGATGAGAGAGCGCGTCGCGTGCTTTCGATGGGCGACTTCTTTGCGATTCGCGGCCTTTTTCTATCGACCTGCTGTCCGCTGCTAATTTGGTGAGCAGCTCTATCTGCCTGTCGAGACGTCCGTGCTCGGAATCCGTCGCAGCCGACGGCGCGCGTCAGATGGTGGCACTCGGGTAGCCGTCGGGTTCAGTCTCTGTGCGGAAAAAAAGGAAGTCCGAACCGTTTCGTGCGCCTCTGTAGAGCACTTGAAGTGCTCAACATCTTTCATGGTAAGAAGCTCTCTGCCCGTTTGCAAAAACAGAGGACGCGCAAGTGCGCAGCTGCACGGAGTCGCCCACTTTATCGATCGTCGCCAGGAATCAACTGCGCTGAAACCAGTGGGTCAGCGCACGGAAGAGCCTGCGCCGCACAGGGTGTGCTGGTTTTTTTTTCGGTGCGGGATGAGCGACATCGTCTTCTCTCACGGCTTTTTGACTCGGGCGGGCCCTACGTGTGTAGCAAGTAATACTCGTAGTCCACTACTGTGGAGCAGTGTCGTTGAAGACCAACGATGGACTGGCGCTCGCAACAGGACGTACGTGCGGGCTCACACACGAGCAAAGGGGGCGACGTGGAATCTTATTCCGTCGTTTATGGAGCAAGGCGTGCCACTTGCAGTCGCACAAAGAGGAGGAGCAGGAGCAAGAGGGAGAGTAGAGAGTTGTACAGGAGACCCACGACAACGACAGCGACAACGACAGCGACAACGACCTGATTTGTGTCTCGGTCTTGACGTCCCCCCCCACATGTTGTGCCACAAATGGTCTTTCGCGAACGTTGGGCTTCCACCGCCACGAAAGCGACCGACATGGGGTCCGTGAGCGCAGTGGAAAAAAAAGGGACCGACAGATCCGTCGTCGTCGAGAGCAGACGCGGCGGCAACTCGGCACGACAGCTGTCCCCTTCTTCAAGAGCGTCTGCGACGTGCTGCGACCGAAAGCCCCGCCCCGTCTGTTCCTGCTGCTGCTGCTGCTCTCCCCAAGGAGCGGGGGACGGCGGCCGATGCAACAACGCGAGTAGGGATACAGATCGGCGTCCGCGCTCTCGCGCCGGCGGGGAACGGCAACACAGCGTTCCCGGCCGAGGAACGCAAAGGCCTCTACTGGCCGTCCGTGCTCCACCACCACACGCAGAGCCGACGAGTCTGTGGCCGACGAGCCACACAAAAACCGCTCCGCACGTGCGGCTGCTGCAGATACTGTTCGCGTGGGGTTCGCGCCCGCGAAAAGGCTTTGCACGACGGAACGGAACGGCGCGACGCGCGACGTCCGATTGTTGCGCCCGACGCGCGACAGCACATTGCTCGTGTCCAGACGGCAGTGGTCGGCCGCTCGCGATTGGAGAAGATCAAGTGGGTGGTCGCCAGCGTGCGAGAGCTCCATGTTGACGGCCCATCCTCTGCTGCAGTGGGCGTGGGACACCACTGACTGTCTACCACAGCCACAGCACGCGCGAGCCGCCCCCCTCCCCCTCCTCACGCTTATGCGTCCCAACGCCTCGCAACGATCGCGCGAGCACTCGTCTCGAGGTCGTAGCGGCTTTCCATTGTCTTCAGAGTGACTGCCTCGAGGCGCCGCTTGGAAAACTCGAGCTCGCGTTGCTGCTGTTCACGCCCGTGTTGTTGTCGGTCGTGCGTTGTTGCCACCTGCTCTCGTGTCAGCTGGACAGCGTTCAGTCGCTCGGTGCCCCCGACCGCCTCCATGTACGTGCGCAGCGCAATTTGCATCGCTGCTGACGTTCCACGCTCGGGCCCTGCGTCCGCGTGTGATACCACCGGGTCGCAAAGCGGCTGCGTTGCTTCCCACTCGTCTTTCAGCACAGTGAGCAGCTGTGCAATGCTCGACGGGAAGCAGAAGCCTGACACCTCAGTCCGGAAGAGTGTCGACGGGCTTGACGACTGGTCTTTGCAAGACGACGAGCTGTTCGATGCGCGGCCAACTGGACCATACGATGTCACCTGCAAGCTCTGGATCGATGCGTGGACAAACGGGTGCAACGCGTACAGCTCCGGGACGTCTTGGCTTGGCATGGCTTGTACAGCAATGGGAACGTCGCGAGCATTAGACACGCGATACCATTCGACGGACGTGCAACACAAAGGTCAGATCGTCACGTACGCGCTTGGTTGATGAGGAACTCGTAGAGTCCGTGGACAGCATCGTGTCCGTGGAAAAGCAGGAGTGAGTCGGCACCACGCACTGTCTCGACAGCTGTCGCGCGAGTTATGGGCGCAACAGTCGTGTCTTCACTGTCTCGTGTGCTGCGGGAGCAATTTGCTGCGTGCTCTTCGGCCAACATGTGAAACTCGCCCACCTCGCGCTGCGTCTCGGTCGCATTGGCGTATGGCATGGTATACGCAACGTTCAGATGGTGCAAGACCTTGCGAAGTCTGCCACTTGACCGAGACATGACTGCGCAGAGGTTCTTCTTGGTGCGCTGTGTTCCTGCCTCGTTCCCGATGGATACGTCTTCCGCGCCATGCTGCCGGCACAAGCTAATGATCGACGGTGTACCCTCGTCACCATTCGTTGCTCCCTCCCTGCTGCGCTCGTGCTGGAAATAAACCACAAAGTCGCTCGAGCGGAGATAGAATGAGCAGTCGTGAGACGCACGGCGTTCCTGCCGCCGGAAGTTCATGTAAACGTCACGGAATGCTTCCTGCCATGTGTTCCAACGCGCGGCAAAGAAGGTCGTCTCTTCTTGTTGGCGCTTGCCGTTGAGCCCTCGTGGTAATAGATCAGGTGAGCTCGCACCACTGGCACGGCGAAGGAGCATATACGTCGGCAATGCATCTGCAGGATGTGCGAAGTAATGCAGTGCCTGCTGCCATCGCATGACGTTGCTGGGATGAGAAGCAGATGGCGCGGCACTGTTTGCACGGCCGGTGACAAATCGTTCCAGTGCTCGTTTCTTGAGCTGCGAACTGGTACACGCCACGTACGCTTGTCAGCTTACACTGCGTGTATTAAAATGCAGGCACCGCCGGCTACTCACTTGACGCGGGCAAATGGATAAGGGAACGCAGTAAGAATGGACACTTTCGTTTTCGGCACGACGTCTCGCGGCAAATCGGCAACCTGCTACTCGCACAACACAGTGAGTTGCACAGCCATTCAACACGCTTCGATCCCCACTTACATGGAAGAAGTGCGGGACACTCGCGCCAGGACGAAGCTGTCGACTCTTTCTTCCCACGAACGAAGACGCATACAGCGAATCTAAACGCGACGCCTTCTTCTCTGCACAAGTCGACCGACACGACGTATTTGCTGCCGCCGACGGCAACTCCACAGACGCCGCTGCTATCGACGTTGCACTATCGACGTGCACGTCCGAGCCACTTTCTGCTTCTGCTCGCGCTTTCTTTGCTGGCGTCAAGCTGTCACTGTACTAGCAGATTAGCTACATGCCACCAACAGACGCATCGACTTCATACAGATGTAATGACCCACTTCGTAGATCGTGTTGCAGTCTGAAGTGAGTCCACATGCATCCGCGTCTTTTGCTCGTCTATGACTTGCAGCTTTGCCGCCCGACGTTGTTTCTAGAAACAAGTGCCAGTGTTGTTGTTGTTGTTGTTGTTGTCAGTCCGAGTGATCTTTCAGCAGTCGAATCACTCTGCACATGATCGCGTACCCGCAGCTCCATCGGCAAGAGCCTCTTCTTCGTCGTGTCCGCATTGCGCGCACCCGAACTCGGCGTCTTCGTCGCTGGCTCCTCGTGCGGCGCCAGCGTAGCGTCGCCTGCCGTTGTCGCCATTGCAAAAGAGCTCTTCGCGTCTTCAACGCATGTCATTGGCCAGCACTGTGCGCGACACGTCTGTATCCGTTTTCACAGGCAAAATGCCCTACAACATCAGCGACATGTGGTCGGCGACCATGGCGAGCGGTGCGTCGGTATCGGTTTTCACAGGCAGTACGCACTGCAACGTGCGACTTGTTTTCAGCCATCCACATCAAGATGGGTACAATAACAACGACCTCGACGATGGCGATGACGACTTCCGAGCGCGCCAGTCAGGCCGTGATCCTCTTTTACAAGTACGTCGAAGTAGAGCGTCCACTCGAGCTCAAGCAGGAACAGGAGCAGCTGTGCAAGCGTCTGGGACTCGTCGGTCGTATCCTCATCAGCGTCGAGGGGATCAACGCCACGCTCTCGAGTCCGACGCGTGCAGCTATCGACGAGTACATTGCTTTCTTGTGCACGCACGACGTTCTGTCGATGCGCACAGAGGACTTCAAGCACAGTCTCTATTGGAACGAGCAGCCGCCGTTTGCAGGGCTCCTCGTCAAGCACGTCAAGGAGATCGTGTCGACTGGCGGCATCGTCGCTCGGCCCGATATGTCCGCATCGGATCGAGACCGCGGGTACTTGACGCCACAGGAGTTCCACGCGGCACTGCAAGAGGCAGACAAGGAGAAGCAGGACACAGTGGTGCTGGACGTTCGGGCCCACAAGGAGTTTCTCGTGGGCCACTTTGAGAACGCTGTGGACCCGAAAGTGAAGAACTTTTCCGAGTACTACGCGTTTCTGCAGAACCGAGTGGACGAGATGAAAGACAAGAAGGTGCTCATGTACTGCACGGGTGGGATCCGGTGTGAGAAGGCGTCCAACTTCTTACGTAGTCGAGGCGTCACTGACGTACACCACCTCAAAGGCGGCATTCACAAGTATCTCGAGACGTATCAAGACGGCGGGTTCTTTCGGGGCAAAAACTTTGTGTTCGACAAGCGGTGCGTCACGTGATGGCTGTGGCTGTGGGGCTACTGGTGATTGCTCATGTCTGGAACGTGTTGTGATTGTGCGCAATAGGGTTCTCATGGCAGCACAGAATTGCAACGAAGTTGTCGGGAAGTGCATTGAGTGCCAGACGCCGTACGACGAATTCAGCGGACGGAAGGTGTGCACTGTGTGTCGGGACCTCGTGCTCGTGTGCGACAGCTGCTTCGACGCTCGTCATGGTGAGGTGCACTGCACGGACCACCAGTACCTCAAGCACTGTTACGTCACGTTCCTGCAGTACGTGCCGCGCTCTGAGCTACTAGAGCAGCAGAAGGCTCTGGACGCAATCCTTGCAGCACTCCTTGCGGACACGAGCAGTAGCAAGAACAAACGGCGCTCGATCCGCAATCAGCTGAACAAAATCAAGGCGCGCGTGGAGGCGATTGATACCGACCCGGACGCTGCAGCGGCCGTCTGGGCGCTCGATCCGCGCCCCATCCACTGTCGGACCTGTGGGCTGGCCACTTGTGTGGGCAACTGCTGGGGCTTCTGGAGCGACGAGTTGCTGCCGGCACCTACAGCCGCGTAGCACGAACCGATTGTCGCCAGTCAAAATGTAGCCATCTCACCACGCACTTCAACGTGTGCGAAAAAAGGGCCACTTCAACTTGACTGCCGTCAGTGCGGAATTGGCCATGACGACCGCAAAGGGCGCGCCACGACGGAAACGAGCTGTCCATGGGCCGGAAGGAGCCACGAAGAAGCCGACAGCGACGGCAGCAGCAGCAGCAGCGAAGAAGAAGAAGCTGACGGTCGCTGCCAAGCGGAAGCACGTGCGGGAGCTGGCAAAGGCGGGCCGGTGGAACGAGGTCCAGAGGAGACGATCGCAGGGCAACTCCCTTTTCAATAGACGCACGTGTTGACCCTTACCACTTGTCCCGTGGTCTTGCAGATTGAGCGGCTGTACGGCAAGAAGATCGTGACAAAGGCCAAGACGTGTACGTCTCGTCGCTCACTTGTTGTCCCCTTTGTACACGTTTGCACGGACACTCATAGTCGCTCGAGTGTGTGTTCGTGCGGTTCCAGACGTGGCGACGCTGGACGGGCCCAAGAAGACGCCGCTGGAGATTGCGCACGAGATCCTCATCAAGAACGGGTACCTGCCGTCGGGCCCAGCGACAAGTGCACGTCGACCTTTGCCTGCGCCTGCAGCGCATCAAACCACCGCAGGGTCTGGAACGCGGGACTGCAGACCAGAAAGCACAGCGGTCGTAGCTCTCGACTCACCGGTGAAGCTGACAAAGGAGCAGCAACAGCTCATTGAGACGAGAAGGCAAGAAGCACTGGCAAGACGTCGGCGGGTCCAGCAAGCTGCTCGACCGCATGTGCATCCGTCTCCAGCTGTGATCGAACCATCCCGTCCTTTTGACGAGGGACTTCGTCAGATGCGTCAAGCGACTGCCCCGAAACAAGAGCAGCAGCATCTGGTGCCAGGACAGGTCTCGAGACTGGGCTCCAGTCGACCTGCTGGGCATCCAAAAGCTCCGACGCAGTGCGTTGTCATTGAAGAGAGATGCGCTCGGACAGGCTCAGTTGATGAGACGAAACACGCTCGACCAGAGTCGTTCTGGGACGATCTCGAGGCGGCTGCCGAGATTGTCCAGTGGGAAAACGAGCACATGGCTGAAGCAGCACTTGAGCAGCAGCAGCAGCTACCTGCGACTCAAATAGCTCCTGACGAAGAGTGTGGCGACACGTATCAGAGCTCTCATCATCGACGCGAGTCACCGGCAGTTGACAATCGGCCGCCTACAGTCATCTCTTTTTCACAAGAGCTACTCGCCGCCGCAGACATTGTTCAATGGGAGAAAGAGCGCGAAAGAGACGTACCGGAAGTACCGGGTACGCTGTCGAGTTGTTTCGATCACCGCAGTTGACACTGACTTTGGAGTATGTCGTGTTGAGCACAGCAGCTTCGAGCCAGCCAGGCGACAGCTCTGGCAGCGACCATGAGCCCGATGCACCACAGTTTCAGCTGTTGCCTGTGCATATCACTGACGATGTCCAGCAGCCGAGTCAAACTTTCCATGAGTCTGTGCTTCGTCAGGTCAGCAACAGCCGCGACCGACCAAACAGCACTGGCCAGCAGCTACATCCACGGGGACCCCAAGTCGATCGCTCATCGGCAGCTGTACCGCAGCCAGGTCTTGTATTGCTATGTTTCGCACACTAACAGCTCCTCCTGTCTTACCTACGTTGCTAAATCTACTGTGACCTACTCTACCTAATTATATTTGCCAGCACTACAACAAAACAGCGCTGTCTCTGCCAGCGTGACAAAAGCCAGTGACGTGCATCAACTTCGCCAGACTTCATCGCATCCATCTCGACACCAGCATGGCTCTCCGACGGAATTCATGTACGCCACATGTACTAGCTTTCTAGCACGACCAGTCCATAACCAATGCTCTGCAGTGACAAGCACCTTTTGGAAGACAAGCTCGGGTTTCCAGTTCTCGAATTTCTCGACATGATGCTTGCTTGAGAACACTCACATATCCAACAGGCAGGACAAATGCAGTCCATACTTGTACGCAAACTAGTCCGGCCTGCAAATGGGCACGAATGCACTTCCGTAGCATGTTCGACACGGCATTGCTTGTGCTGACGTCGGCCTCACTCGTACTTCCGGCAGACAGGGTCAGCATAAACAAAGTGGTTTTCCCACATCACCAAATCATTCTCCTCAGATGAAAATGGAAGCATCAACCCGATGCTGTTAAAGTTCTTCGCGCTGTCGTATTCCGCATTCAGATACTTGTCCATGTGCCCCAGCAAGACGTACCACAGCGACCACGTCGGTGCAATCGCCTCTTCGTGCTTTCGTTGTCGCTGGTTGTTGTAGAAAAAGTTGCCGTAGAGACCAGAGAAAACGTGTTCGTAAAGTACTGCGAGAAGGGACTCGCTAAACTCAAAAGCCCATGGCTGTTGGCGCCAAACCTGCCACAATGCATCCAGCCACTGGATAAACACAGGAGACTGTTCCTCGAGCTCCTGGTGGCCGGGTCCTTCGCCTTGGGAGTACCTGAACCGAAAAAGGTGCCCAAAAGAGCACCACTCCTTTTCAATCAGCTGCATCAGCCCAGCAACTGTCCGGTAGTACGGATCGAGCAGGAGCTGTACCATGGCCGTCAATTGTGGAGTACGGTCCCATCCGTCACTGCAGTGGATCATCACAGACTCGCTCTGGCAAAGACAGCGGCAGATTTCCTGCGACGTGGAGAGAATACTGGACAAGTGCAAAAACCAAAACGTGTTTCGCAGCTGAAATAACCATCCAGTGCTCTCACGCTCTTGTCCAGGCTGGCACACCGATGCTAGCGATGCATACGATGAGCGCACAGCATGAATGTTCGCAATGTCACAAAAATGGAGCTCGGTGTTCGGATAGTTTCGTGGGTCTTCGGTGCCCTTGCCTTGCGCGGAGTTCGCTGCTGCCGCCATTTGGCTTCGTGCGTCGAAAAAATGAAACTTTGCATCGCCGTGCACACTCGTTGCACGTTGCAGCGCTAGCACCAACTTTCGATCGGCTTCCACGATATATCCACTCAACCCTGTACAAGGCTGGGCACACCGGCACACGAGCGCCCGCGTGTGCGGATGACGCCATACTACCGCAGGAATGCGACTGGCGCTTCGATACGTGCTCAGCTCACGCAGGTCGTCGTCATCCAACACCGATGGAACCACAAACGTGTCTGGGTATGACGGAAACATGATATAGTCCGAGTTATCATACAACCGCATCCAGCTGTCTTCGTCCAGCAGCTTCAGCCGTCGGTAGTCTTTCTCTGCATCGTAGAGCGAGTCGGTCGGCGTCTTGATCCCTGTTTTGCTCGGCGTCTTCGCCTGTTCCTTATGTCGCAGTGCCTGGTAGTGCACGTGAGCAAACAGATAGTGGGGCGGCGATACACCCATCGAGTAGAGCTCCCAAATGCAGCTCAAGAAGTCTGAGCACGTAGTCTCGTCTTGGAATGCCAATGAAGCGCGAAGGAGGTGTTTGCCTTCGATATTCGCAATATGGGGCGCTGTCGTCGAGCTTTCCGCAGACAAAATCGATGCCAAACGAATTTCCATCGCATCTTTTGTGCTAAGCGCTTGCCAAATGATACGGTAATTCGTCAGCACCAGCGTCCCATCAATACTAAAATGCGGCGCTGTCCCCAGCACCATTTCACCAACCAAATGCGTCACTTGCCCTACTCCACGAAATGCGCCTTTTACTGTGTGTGTACCCAGGCCCAACATGCCCATGCCTAGACCTTTCGCAAAGCCAAATACGCCACCGTTTGCTCCGCCTTGATACGTCTTGTTCACCAGACCAGCTGCGCCTTTTAGAAAACCATTGCCGACGCTCGTGGAAGCACGAAACAGGCCTCTCCCCAAAGACCGGGTCGGGTGATGGTAGTCCCGCGTAAAACAGTTGTCCGTTTGCACCTTGTGACCAGCAGCACCTAGCGACGCGTACGAACGAGGCGGGGCGACTCGTCCACCTGCGTCCTCGCCCCACTCAGTCACATCGCCGTCGTCGTCGGACGAGGAGGACATGGCAAGCATGTCATGTTTCATGCTCTGCTCTTCGCCGCTATCTTCGCTCTTGTAAAATATGATGTATGCTGCATTGTCGACTTGCAGACGCACTATCTCCCCAGCAACTGGGTAGATATCGCCAATCAGTGCATGCGACTCATCTGCAGGCTGTGTCAACTGGAACGTCGGCGTGATACTACCGCCATTGTAGCCACAATTCTCCAGACGCAGCATTGATGGTGAATTTGCACTTCGCACGCTTCTCGCTGGACTATTCGAGTATGAGCCAGAAATCTTACTGATCGCATCGTAGCTGCCATAGCCGCAGTGGCTCACACTTGCATGTGTGAAGCGAAATGCCTCATTGTCGTAAACCGAGTAAAATGTATTGGGGGTGCCGGCATTGCTGCCGCTCTCCACACTGCCCGTACCTCCATTGCTTGGTATTGCTATCGCGTCCGTGAACGGATAATCATCAAAGTCGCCCAGATCTGAAAAACTACTCGATGTCTGCCGAGTGACACTCGGCGGATCAATGTCCATCGCTTCATTCGTGTCCGTTTCAAAGTCCAGTGCCGTCGCCAGGTCAAACCGTTCCTGAAGTTTCTTTGTCGCTGAGCCAGGACATTGCAGCTCGTTGCACTCTTCACTCTTCATCTCTTCCCTATTGGCGTCATCGACACCTCGTTGATCCCCCACGTGCTCCGAACGTTGAGCCACACGCTCCTTCTCCTTATCGAAATCACTACGCCCTTCTTCTACGTCCGAGTCGGTTTCGGTCGCTGTAGCTGACGTGGGCACAATCGCCGCGAGCGCTTTTCTGTCTCCGGCCTCATGTCCCGCGTCGTACTCTGCTTCTGCACTCAGCTCGACACTAGAGCCGTTGCTACTGGACGACGTCGGCGACACGACCTCCTTCGGGCTCGAGCACAGCACGTTCGTGGACTCAGTATCGCCCCTTTGCTCGTGCTTTGCACGTGACGCGCTCGACCTCTTGGCCACGTCGTCATACCCGCTGCTGTCTCGACATGTGTCTCTCGACACAGTCACGTACAAATCGCTGTCCCGCTTGCTTGCCATCGTGATCACTGCGAGAGAGCTTTACTGCAACTGTCAAATGTAATATCACCCGACTCTGGCCAAGGAATCGCAATGCAGCCAATGAACACGTCAGGTCTCTTTATTCTGATACTATCGCAAGTAGAAACGGTAGGCGGAAAATGCTCAGCGTTCGCTCGCGTACCTCTGCCGCTCCTTCAGTCGCACTCTGATTTGCGTGTGAGGACTCTCCTCGTCAACCGCTTCGCAGACGACGCAGTGTGTGTGTGTGTGTGTCGACGACTGAGCTCTTCGTCGCTACGTGTGAGTGTGAGCGTGCGAGTAGAAGTGTCGTGTCTCAACCCCTGAGGCGCTTCTCCAGTATGAGAAATAATGATCGTGTGGAAATATGAGTGGGACACTCCTACCCCTATTTCTATTGTAAAAACAGCGGGTGACGTTGGACGGCTGGAGCATCCAATACGAGCGCAAAATGCACTGATTTTGCAAAGGATAAAATGCACTGAATAATTGTGAATGATTGATTTTTGTACTTAAACCAAATCGGTTTAAATATGCTAATTTGGTTTTTGCCACAACTCGGAGAGAAAAACAAGGGAAACCCGTCCTCCGTTGTTATTCTACTTGGTTATGTGCTCTACTTATTTATCAGCAAATTACCTCATGTGGTTGTCGCAAATTTGCTCATGTGGTTGTCTTGCGATACTAACATTCGTCGCTTGGTCTTGAAGTCATAGCGACGATTGGCAAGCAAGTCAAAAGCGCGTCAGCAACCGGAAAGCTGCATGTAAAAAATGTGCGAGATGCGTATAAAACTAGGACAAAATACAAAAAATAAAATGCAAAAAATCACAACGATTTAAAGTCAACATAACAAATGCGCCACTAATGTATACTTGTGAAGTGACCATTCAAATATGAATTAATCGCATGCTTACTTATCGGCATCATGCCCAATAACTCTAGAAGTCTCGTAGCAAATTTACGAAAAGAGCATTTTCGAGGATTTGGAAGGTGCAGGATTCGTCTTTGTCTCAGTTGATCAGACAGATTTACAACATGGATGTTGCTGACACGCCGGTACCTTTGCCACATGTTAGAAGAACTCCACGATGCGAGCCTCGTACTAAAATGTACCGCGTGCAAAACGACTTCATTGAGAATGTATGGCGTAATCATGTAGCAGTACATGAAGAATCTCATGTCCGGAGTGGACCAAGTGGACCGAGCTGCATCTCTTATAAGCCTCATGTCCTATACTTAAGAAGAAATAGTGCGTCTACCTTTACAACATTCATACATTACTGTAGGCGGTAGGTAGGTATATTACAGTACGATTGGCGACTACTGAATACAATTTACAGCATCTATACCACAATTTACACATCAGCACCGGCATTAATTACTACAATGAGCAAGTACTTACTTGTGACGACCAAAATATTCCAGTAGAATCGGTTGTTTGTTATGGTGCAACTAATTTTGCGTGTTCGCAAGCATGAGCACATGTTCATCAGATCTCCACTGTTGTCTCCTTCAATATTATTTGTCTCTACGTCATCTCATGTTACCTCACGTCCTAACTTCAGCATCTTACTTAGCATTGTGTACGCGCCAGTGGAATACGGCTCCGTCTCACCCGAATTATTGAGCTCGGCCAAGATGACAGCTACACGCTAAAATTGTGTTGGGCCATAAATGCTGGATAGTAGAGCGAAAAGCAACATAAGATTATACCGAGCGATAAATAACTCTATAGCTACGCATGAAGCGTCGACACACCTTTTTCTTCGTGCTATACAGCTGTTGAAGATCTAGAAGAAGCAGTTTTCAAGAAATGGAATACGAGAGGGGATGAAGCAGATAAACGTGGATACACATGAATGATCGCAATCATGTGTACATTCGGTCGCATAACATACAGTCGTCCTTCTATGAAAGATTCCTTATCGAAGGCGAAATTCCTGTTTGAGGAACCCCGTATCCTGCGCCAAGCTGCGTCACTTGAGTTTTGTATGGTAATAAACTTAAGAAACACCAAAAAGCGCGCACCAACCACCAGTTTCCCCTCTCAAATGAACTTTCCATATCTTGTATTGCCTGCCGTATTGCACATTTGCTTCCGTTACACCTCATACATCTCGACAAAGCGAACGGTTCTCACGATAAATCAAAAGCGTCAGGTGCAGGTGCACATCACACGCACACCAGGCATCAAGTTGTCTCAAATACAAGACTGTTTCAGAGAGAGGCTCGGCCTTCATGTCTACACAACGGAAGCAGAAAGGATTCTACAGGCACTAGACAAATCGTTCCTTGCCACGTGCAGAAAGCGCAATCGAAATGCGCTGTTATCAGCGTTTGAGGCTGCGTTCATCTCATACTATCGTCTCAATGGCGGCAAATCAATTCTCACAGACTAACTAATACCAGAAGAAGGTCGCTCAATCCGAGCCGCTCAAGGAATAAGCGAGAAAGACCTGCGGCTTATATATGGGTGGCTGCACGAATTTCAAGACTCGTCACGGCATCCAGAAGCATGTGCTTCAAGGATAGGACGAAACCAGTGGATCTCGCTCCACGGGCAGTGAATCGAATGGAGTTTAAAGAGATGATTGGCCAATATCTACCACGGAATGTATTCAATTTGGACGATCAGCTCCCTTTTATCTCCTACTTCCAAACAAGACGGTGGCAACGGTCAAGCGCAACGAAAAGCAGTCTGAAATGGATCGTATCACAGTTGCAATGTGCTGCAATATGACCAGCACGTAGAATATGGATATCGTTGTCACAGGTAATCCGCAGAGACCACGAGCATTTTGCAACGCCAACACCAAGCAAATGAAGTTTATCTACTCAACGACCAGACTGCGTGGCAGAAAAGGTCAAAATTTGCTATGTATATCCAGCACTTCGATGCCAAGATGCACGGGAGGCGAGCGCTTCTTCTGCTGGACAACGCATCGTGTCACTATGCCGCCCCTGAATGCAACAACGTCAAGATGTCGTTTCTGCCGTCAAACATGACAGCACATTTGCAACCGCTAGACACAGGTAAGTTTGGATGTATGGTCTCTTTACCAGCAATTCTCACGTGTTTACCTTCTGATAGGAATTACTCGGTCATTTAAATCGCGGTATCAAAATAGATTTGTTCTATGGCTACTGGATCCAATCTACACCATAATCAATATCATTGGATACCTCGTAAAGGCTGTGCGCTGCGCTATATCGATCTGGGAGGAGGTTCCCGAGCAAGTAACATGTAAGAGCTGGATCAAGTGTGATATCGTGGAGGCGGCGACAATGACCGATATCTACCAAATACGTGACTACAACAAACGCATTGGTTGATCTGTTGAGGACCAGCTGATCAAGCTCATGGAGGGCTTGGATGAGGCGTCAGTATCAACGACATCGGTGCGCATGACGACAAGTCGATCGAGTGCGACTCAGACACGATAGAGCGTGGGGCAGTTGAAAACGACAGTGATAGTGACAGTGCCGATGAGGTGAAGATTGGGCCATACGAGGCTCTAGAATGTTGTCTCCGTCTGTCATCCTTTCTTCTGCTACAGCACGACAGTGACGGATTGACCAATGAGATATCAAGTATCACTGAGCACGTTAGAAAGCAGTGTTCGATGCGAAAGACTCAGTGTACTATGGATGCATTTGTCAGAATGGGTTCAGATTGACCTTCCATATAAGAGGGTTTTATAATAGGAACGAGGCGAACACGTTGCACATTTGGGTCCGCTACATCGATGGACGACTGTACAGTAGTCATACCTGTAGAATTTTTTTCATATACTTGCCTTATTTTATTTTCCCATCTTGTCGTGCATTTGTACAATTTCTTATTCTTCGATGCTTTTATATTTCTTGATTGAATTGGTTTGTAATTATATTGTGTATACAATCAATTTGTACTACAATATTATGCTCTGCGCTGCTTTTTAGTTTTATATAATCATGCCAAAATCATATTTATATTTACTACACAATACTTTTTATTTGTTTTTTATTTCCAAGTCTTTCTAAAATGTTACTTCAATGAAATTTTTATGTTTTTCTCGTGATTATCTGGTGCACGTCTTTTTATTTATTTCCAAGTCTTTCTAAAATGTTACTTCAATGAAATTTTGTTTTTTATTTCCAAGTCTTTCTAAAATGTTACTTCAATGAAATTTTTATGTTTTTCTCGTGATTATCTGGTGCACGTCTTAATATCCAAAGCAAATATGTCAGAATGACGACACGATATTAATGACGGTAAAATATGGTGATGTCCTACAATGCCCTTGGGATGCCAACGCCAGTGAGAACCTAAAGACTGATGTGGTCGGTAGATCGTTTAAAATGACCTGGCCAACGTGGCTATGAGCAGCGACGTTTGTAGGATTGGGGTAGTGAAAAATACAAAAGTCTCTGGCAAAGGTCAAATTGCCCAATGTGATAAACGAGCGTTAGCCCCACCAATATGCTCGTTTGGTTGCGTTGTAGATTCTGTCACGCTTACCCCTTGCTGTCCAGCAAGGGAGACGTAGCGTCAACATTTAGTCGAACGAGACGATGTGTTTGGAAACCCATTGACTAATGAACCTGCGATAATGAGCTGTGTCTAGTTGGCCAAACTCGATCGCCTTTGACGAATCAAACCATTCTTTTGGACGATGCGCATCGCAGTGACCGAAGTCACATACCACGTAGAGGATGCCATCTAAGCTTTGACACTGCTACTGAACAACGTTGACGGGAGCTCTCGCTCTTCGATGCTGGATCCGTCTACTACGCTTTCTGTGTGACCTCCATCGTCACTCTCGTCGTCATCCAACTCAATCTCTTCTTCATTTGCGACCTCCACAATCTGCTTCTGGCGCACATTCCGCTCAGTGTCAGATTCCAGGACCTCTCCCTTCCTTTTCTTCGCAGCGTCCGCTTCGTCAGTCGATGACGCATCAAGTTGTGCTTCCAGCGCAGCCATAGCGTCGTCAGGTATGGCAGGCGCTGGTGTCGAAGCTGCAACCATCCCTGCAATCTTCGACGTCTTTCCATCCTGAGCAGGAACGTCAGACGCAATGTAGTTAACTTGGGAGTACTGGGCCACGACAGAACGTTTGATGCGCAGCATTTCAAGAAACGTGTGCTCCGAGCCGTGCGATACTTCGAACTCATGCCACACTTTCCAAAAAGACGTCTCGTGTAGTCGCGGATCGCAGAATTGCGACGCATGGGCGTAAATAGCCCGCGCACGGTCGAATTCACCCAATTTTGCTTCCATCTGTGCAAATCTCAGACATAAATGCGGCACGCACTTGTCCGGTAGCTTTGCGATACCACTTTTGTAAACATCTCGCACCTTCGCCACGCCAAAAAACTTTTGGGCCTTCTTGATGTACTTATCATACAGCGCAAGCTTGTCGTCATCAGGCACAGCGTCGGACGCGCGCTCATAAATTGTCATCACATTGCGCAGCATACCGAACTTCTCCTCAAAATCGGCAAACTTGTCGTAGAATCGATACGCAGACTTGGCCGGGGCGGCAGAGATGGCTTGCTCGTACAAATCACGAGCACGCTCTATCTTGGCACCAGCGTATCGTTCAACAAACTTGGTCAGGTAAGCCTCCCACAGAACCCCGGCATGCGGAAACTTCGGGAAAACTGCCAAACCGCGCTCGTACACGCGAAACGACTCCTCAAAGTACTTGTTTTCCTCCAAATATGCCGCAAAGTTGAGCACCATCTGAGGTGTAATGATTCTGAGCTCAAACACAGCGTCGTATGCAGCACGAGTCGACTCGAGATCACCGAGACTCTCTTCCATGTCTAAGCGCAGCGTCCACAATTTCACACTAAGATGCACATTGTCTTTTGCGGTCAGTGTCTGTTGCTTACGCAAGCGAATGGTTCGCGAGGCTGGAACGGCACACGCGTTGCGCACAAGCTCAAGTGCTGTATCGAAATTTTCATGTCGGAGCTCTAGTTCCACCCACTCACAGTACACAGCTGCGAGCTCTTGTGGATTGCGCCATTCCACACGAACGGCTTTTTCAAAGATCACACGCGCATTGCTCAGATCTCCGTGCTCATCATAGAACTTCGCAAACTGGATCCAGAGTGTCGGCAATCGTCCTCCTGACTTGGCTGGGTCGACTGTCTTCACAGCCTCAGCGTACGTGCGTATGGCCTTCGACAGGTCCGACTTGACCAGTCCGATACGTTTTTCCCATCCCCGCACATTATGCGGGTTTTGTCGCAGGAGAACCGAGTTGAGCAGCAGAGGTCGTCGTTCAGCCACATCCTCATATACCTTCAGCAATCGGTCCACCTGCGCTTGGTGGTCAATCTCATCGTCATCCATGTCTGCATCATCCTCTTCATCTTCTCCAGCTGCCAAATCCATCTCGGCTGTAAGCATAGCCTCAATGAACTTCACGTAAGCGTCAAAGATCATACTGAAATCACGAACAGTTAGCACTGTGCAAATCCCTTCTTCATACACGTCTCGCGCCGACTCGAACATTCCAAGTCGGACAAAATACGTCGCCAACGAGCACCAGAGTCGCCCTGCTTCATCACGAAACTGTGCCATTCCACTACGCAAGATCGCTTCGACATCCAGCGACTTTGCCACGCGCGTTGGATGCTGCGACACCATGTCACACAACTGCATCCACATACTGTGCGGCGTCCTGTCTGCACTTGCTTCGTTCTCCTGCGCAGTCTCGATAAGCTTTACGAGCTGCAAACTTGCTTCTTCGTAAAGCTCCATCGACACTAGATAATCCACGAGCTCTCCACGTTTTGACGGTTCAAACATCAAGTACCGCTTGTACACGCGCACAGCCGTCCGTGGCACACCAACGTCCTTTACAAAAGCTAGATAAAATTTCCATAGACGATGGTGCTGGGTAATGGGCAGCGCCTGGAGCGCTCTGTCAAACACGTGGCGACGTGCTGTGACCACGTGCATCTCTTGTAGTACCCTTAGGTAGTCCAGCCACAGTCTCGGCATCGTAGAAAGTTGTGCCAGTGCGCGCTCGTACAGCGACACGAGTTGCGTGTACAAAGACGAGTCTACGCGCTGTCCGCGCACTTGGTTGCCGTGCATATCATCGAGGTACATTTTCCAGAGCTTGTAGCTGCGTGGGAGGGCATGCAGGCCACGCTCGTATACTGTATACCGAGCAGCAATGGGACCGTCGGACAGCGCACTGAGATAGGAGGTCCATGTCTGCACAGCAAATGGCTGGCGAACAGCCTCTTCTTCATACTCGAACAGCGCGCCATTGTCCTGACACGTAAACAGAATGAGTAGCAGCAAAAAAAGCAGGTGAGCATGAGGTGCAGCACGAGTCAGCTAGTGTCTCGACACAGAGGGCGTGGGGAGCCAGAGAGAGAGAGAGAGCGAGACAGCGACAGAAGAGAGGGAGGCGTACCATGTTGGCAGACAAAGTGGCCAGAAGTAGTTTGATGTTGTGTACATACAGAGGTGTGGTGCACATGAAAAGACCGCAAGACTGTCTCAGTGTATATTTTCAGCGGGACATTTGTTTTGCAACGATAGACGACCGAGCACTGGAGCTCGCTCTTTGATACACGCCGTCCACTCCAGACCATTGACACAATCCAGCAAATGGCACGAGCTTTGGCAATTCTCATGCCCGTATTAGACGATAGCGATATTGCAACTGGGATGGGCTGTGCGCTGAGAGGCGAACTAACCACAGAGATGCCATAGCGAGTGTGCGATGAAACGACTCGTTGTGTTGCAGCTGTTGTGCTGTGCTAATATGATCAGACAACGGATAAATTTACCTTTGCGACAACAGCAACGACATTAGATCGACGACATGGGGAGATTGGTGAGGCAGATGCCGTTAGAGGTGTTCCTCTACTGTAGCGGAGCTACACAGCTCCTTAAGTCAGAGGAAGACTTTACGCTCTTACGAGCAACTTTGGTTCTACGAACCCGACTCAGAGAGTCAACAAGCTCAGAGAGCTTACGATCCCCGTTCCTAAGGGACCAAACGATTCAAAAGAATCACAGCACAGAGTGCTCAGGAGTAGCTACCTTCACAGGTATTGCTAGCTCCCATCGATCAAAGACGCCTCGTAAGGCACGTGTCTCTTACTGATCAAAAGGGGAACTGAATTTTTATTTCTTTGATTAACCTAAAAGAACACCTTAGAACAACGTATTTAACCTTCCCTAAATAACCTCTTAAAAGATCTCGCAATCAATTGATGACAGACATCAGTTTTCAACAATTGATACACTCACTGTGTTCTAAAATTACTTTATAGGGTAACCCCCCTCTCTTGTGTACACCACACCTATCGTCGACTACCAGCCGACGTGTAACCCCGTTACACCCTCCCCCACTAGATTGACGTTACCACCAAACGTCAATCGGCTTCTTTCCTCGAAGAGGTCGGTGTGTGTGTGTGCTTAACCTCGCGGTTGCTAAACACGAAACACCATGGCTTTGCCACCCAATGAGTCTCGGACTCTTTCCTCTTACCTTGACTTCGATGAGGATGTGGACTATGGTAGTGATACCAGTGTCCATGGAGATGACGGGATATCATCCCACTCCGCTGTACCTGAGGCTCGTCCTCTTACAGCATCGAATCCGTTCGTTGAACGTGGTGATATCACCGCGCCAGTGGCGCAGCATCATACAACATATGCAGATGAGAACATCATTACGAACCCGCTCGACGAGCAACAGCAGCTGATCCGTCAGCGTGAGGAGCGTGCTCTACGTCGCACTCATACCCAGGCGGTTATTCGAAACCGGAGTGGTTACGTGTTCTCAACACCAGACGTGGAGCAACGCCTCCGTCAAACGGAAGGCCGTAGCCTTGCAACATGGGCCATTGGCCCCGAGGCTACGTCGCCAGAAGATATCGCCTTTCGCCAGGCTCTGATTGAGAGGTATCTCGAACCAGCCTATACCACGCAAGGTCAGTACCTTGCACACCTTGAGAGTCTTTCTCGTGGTGTTTCGGTTCGACCGATAAAGGGCGTGCCCATCTTGTTGTTCGCTGGCGAACTGCCCGAGGAGGAGGACAATGAGTTCATCCGTTGAGTGTACCGCAAGCGGCATCTTAGCAGTGTGCCAACGCTGCGGGCCAGCGCCGATGTGGCTGAAGTTCGTCTGGAACGGAAGCTGCGGTTCGAGTATGCCAAGCTCAAGGCCAGAGGCCAGTTGCGTACACGTACGCGTTATGCTCCGGCTACAATGGTAGCCACGGGTCACGACCCTAAGGTGCGGAGCAACACGCCACCTCCCACCACTATTGGTGAGAAGCGTTCTCGCTCGCAAGGCGACCCTGGCCACGATGTTCAAAAACATCCACGGCGTAAGGGCAATCCTGCCGAAGGGGTATCTCATACTCCCACGAGTTCTCCGACTCCGGGTACCCTCGCCACTTCACCAGATATTGGTATTGGCCACGACGACGACGCCGCTGAAGGATTTTCTCCACATGGAACTGGTGGTTCCCTAGCTCATCGAGCAGCGTCGGTGGCGGTCGGGGTACCGAAGGAGGAGCATGAGAAGGTGCTCCGTAAGCTGAGTGGTCTCCGAGAGACATTGGGTAAGACCCAGAATGAACTCGGCGAGATGCAAGCCCGTGTTCAGGCGTTGGAGTTGGCCTTAGCCCGTGTGGATGGTCAGCTTGACCTCCTGGGATGGATGCAACAGTCGACGTCAAGGCCTTATTTTCAGACGCAAGCGCCTCCGACTTCACATGGGACGGGTCCCGATACAGCTTAAGCAAGCCAACGTAGAACACTGGGTGCGTGCGCAGTTTGCGCGGAAGGTTGAGCGTGTATGCCAATCCCTTCTTAGCGATGACCGTGAACGGCCCAATGAAGCGCGGACGCAACTTTGTCTTGAAGACAGCAGAGACTACATTTGTAGGTAGGTTTTTAGCATTGAGTAGAACTTGGTCTCCGACCTTATAACGTTCAATACATCCTCTGCCTTTAACATCAGCTTGCTCCTTTTGTCTATCTTGACTATCAGCCAGTGCATCACGCACGTGTCGTAACACATTCAAGCGCGTTGCGAGAAACTCGCTTACCTGTTTATGAACAGTAGCAGGGCTGATATCTGCAAGCCGATCGGCCATCTCTCCCCCACCAAGCCCTGAACCACGCAGTGGTAGCGTTAACGGAACGCGAGGGTTTGTGAGACCGTTCACGTAGAACGGAGTAAAGCCTGTAGAGGCATGAACAGCGTTGTTCAACGCAAACTCAACAACAGGGAGCATCGAACTCCAACGTTTTGGTGTATTAGCGCAAATACTGCGCAAGATGTCACCGATAACGCGGTTGACTCGCTCGTTTTGACCATCTGTCTGCGGATGATCCGCTGTGGACATGTCCAAACGTGTGCCGAGCACCTTGAAGATGGACTTCCAAAACTTCCCAGTGAAGCGAGGGTCTCAGTCAGAGACAATTGCCACAGGCAAGCCGTGTTGTCGAAACACTCGATCGATAAACAGCGTAGCTGTACCTTCACCATCAATGGTATCCGTCACAGCCGCCAAGTGAGTCATCTTGCTCAAACGGTCAGCAAAGACCACAATACCGTATTGCCTTGCCCATCTTTCGGCAGACCGAACATGAAATCTATGCTGATGGACTCCCAGCACCCAGAGGGTATAGGGAGACTAGCGAGCGGCGCAGCCGCATGAGCTGAGAGTTTCACCCGTTGACACGTTTCGCACGTACGCACGTATGTGCTTACCCATTTGTGAAGTTTGGGACACCATTAATATTGGCTCACGGCACTATATGTCTTTTCTCGACCGAAATGACCGCTCACCTTAGTATCATGCGCCTCATAGAGGATGCGATACTTCAATTCCTCATCATGAGGGACAACGATACGGGGAGTATCCTCCATATATGTGCTATAGCACAACAGGCCTTGATCGATGGAATATCGATGTAGACTCGCACGCAATCGTGCCGACAATTTTAATGTCTGAGTCGTTAAATTCCTCGCTCCCCAGAGCACGTAGCAAAGCTACACAATGTTCATCTTTGGCATATGCCGAACGAATGAGGTCTGTGACCGATGATGACAGAGTCGTAACATGAGCAAGCTCATAGTCAGGCCTTCGTGACAACGCATCGGACAGAGCATTCTGCTTGCCCGGATTATACTTCACCTCGAAGTTGTATTCCGCAAAGAATGAGAGCCAACGGGCCATTCGCTGAGAGAGATGTGGCGACTGGGTCGCAGTGCGTAATGACGCATGATCTGTAAAGATCACAAAAGGCTTAGAGCCAAGCAGATGAACTCTGAACTTAACTAAAGCATACTTCATTGCAAGTAGCTCTATGTCATGAACTGGATAGTTCTTTTCAGCTGCTTTCAACTGCCTGGACTCAAACGCAATGACGCGTTCCCGTTCATCATTATCTGTTTGTAACAGAGCACTGCCGATGGCAAAGTCAGATGCGTCACAGACGACACTGAAAGGCCGATCAGGATCGGGCAAAGCCAAGATTGGCGCATGAAGAAGGCTCTCTTTTACAGCCGTAAAGGCTTCCTGCTCGGTGTTCGTCCAACACCATTCCACATCCTTATTAAGGAGATTGGATAATGGTCGAGCCATGTCTGCATAGTTTGCACTATACTTGTGTAAGTAATTGGCAAGACCAAGCCACTTACGTAAGTCCTTCTGGTTCTGAGGAACCGGCCAATCGACTATGGCTTTTATCTTAGCGGGATCCGCTCTAAGACCAAGCTTCCCGATGAAGCACCCTAAAAAGGGAATCTCTTGTGCACCAAAGATGCACTTAGAGGCGTTGGCATACAACTTGTTTGTGCGCATGCACTCGAGCACTGCTCGTAAATGGTCGATGTGATTATTCACATCAGACCGGCCGTTCATAGCACGACTATGGACAAAGATGTCATCAAAGTAGGTCTGTGCATAACCTCGGTGAGGCCGAAACAGTTGCGTCACAAGACGATTGAACGTAGCTGGCCCGTTTGACAAGCCCTGTGGCATAACTAGCCACTCCCAGAGCACCCCGCTCGGGGTACTCACCGCTGTTAGCAGAATACCTTTCTCACGCATGAGTAATTGGTAATAACCATCGACTAGATCGAGTGCACTGTACATTGTACATCCCACCATATTGTTCTGAAGAACATCTTTCCGAGGGATTGGTGTCTGATCCGGGATCGTGGCAGCATTAAGCTTATTGTAAGCATGAACAATGCGCCACTTTCCATTGGGCTTTCGAACACAAAATGTGGGCGTGGAATGAGGAGATTTGCTCTCACGAACCATGCCCGCTGCGTGCTTTGCACGAAAGAAGTCGTCAATGACGTCGCACTGTTCCTTCGGTAAAGGCCGCTGCCGTGTTACGCAGTATTTAGTTCCAGGAACCAAGTCAATTTATGACGTA